TATGGGGTCTTCTTACTTGCTTTTATCCTGTTCACTTTCATCTTAAATGCCACCTCGTCAGGAAGGCCTCCCCCGACCTATTGCAGCCAGGTCTCTCTGTTATTCCATCTCTTCCACCTTTCATTTCCTTCTTGGTATTTTGTCCCTCTGCATACACGTATTTACTTCCATGGGGGCAGAGTCTCTATTTGCTCACTGCTGTGTCTGAAAAACTTAGCACAGTGCCTAGGATATAACTGTCATTCAATAAATAACTGTGAGGCAGACCAATGCCCGCATTTTGACTCTGGCCCTGTCAAGCCCTAAGAATTCAAAAGGCTTTTCTAGGAAACAGCCCTTCACATAGAAACATGGGCCAATTGTATCAGTAGCCCTGGCAGAAGTCTCTGGTCCAGGGTGGTATCTGAGATCATGAATCCCAGGTCTGCCACCTCCTTGCTGGTTGACACTCATTCTGTCTCTACCTCCAGGGTCTTTGCCTATAACAGGGTTGTTATGAGAATTAACAACCTGTCATTGGTGCTGTCACTGGTGCCTGGCAAGAAACAAATGCTCTAAATAAAAGTCAGCTGCCATTATGAGGACAGCATTCAAGGACTCCCCATTGATGCCCACATATCATCCTTAGGGGAAGTTTCTGCCTCAGAAACTGATGGGTCCAAATGACTCTTGCTCATTTTAAAATACATGGATCACTGCAAACAGTGATACATGGGCAGTTAATACCCAGACCCATCGGTTCCCCTTGCACAACTCATGACTGGAACCAAAAATAATCTGTATGGAACTCTGACTATCCAGTTGGATGCCAGAAATGGAGAGTGTTCACTGAATTACAGCTAATTTGTCTAGATGTGGCCTGCCCTAGGGCTCCAAACACTGAGTGTATTTGCTTGATCCTCTCACCCCTCTGCTTGCTTCCTTTTAACCATCTTCTAGGCTTCTGTCCAGTGGTACCTGGGAGCTTCTAATCACACGGCCGTGTGGCTCCCCTCCTTGCAGGGGGAGGACACATGAGTGCCGTCTTCGTCCATTCATACCGGATTGCTGCTGCATTCTCTTTCCTGAGCCTTCTGCCCACAGTCTCTCCTCACCTCACCTAATCATATCTGGATGCATCATTTTCAAAAACCACTGGAATCACATCCTTCTCCTCCCCTCCTATAGCCCACATATCTGAAAAACAATTCTTCCTTTGGCCTCCTATATATGGCTTGGCTGAGGATAATGCCTTTCCTGCTAACCTGAGTAGCCCTCACTTCATAAACATAATATAGGATGGCCTTGCGTGACAGATGGTACTGATGGACTTGAACACATGATGTTTCAATTTCAGCCTCTTGACTTACTAGCTACATTTTCTATGGCAAGTTAACTTCACATCTATGAGCCTCAGTTCTCTCGTCTGTAAAGTGGGCAAGACAGTACCTGCCTCATAGTTTTGTTGAGTCCTGGATGGGAAAACACACAGGAAACATAGCATGGTACCTGGCAGACAGAAGCATACTCAAAAATGTTAGCTTTTATTGTTTCTCATACAAACTCAACTCCTCATTCTCCAAGTCTCAGCTTAGACATCACCTCTCCTGGGAAGCCTTCTGTGACCACCACCCCAATGACGAGTATGTTTGTAAAGCACCCTACCCTGATCATCATCGTAAGATGTATCACACCCCAGTGTCATTGCCTCTTGGCTCTTTGGTTGCCCCCTAGGATGCGTGAGAGCATCACTGCAGGGGCAGCATTTCTACTACACTGCCATAGCATCTGGCATAAAGTAAGTGCTCAGTAACATGTAGTCCAATGAAAAGTAATTAAAGAAACAAACTACTAAAGACAAAATCATTATTAAAATTTTGCTATTGCATGACCTAATAATTGCTCCATCATAAGACCAGAAACTCGTCTGGCAATGAACCACATTCCTTTTTTATATTATTTAATTTTAATAAGAGTTACCATCTATTGACCCATCTTTTTTTCTTTTTTTAATTTTTTTAAACATTTATTAATTTTTGAGAGGCAGAGAGAGACAAGAGTGTGCGCAGGGCAGGGGCAGAGAGAGAGAAGGAGAGAGAGAGACACAGAATCCGAAGCAGGCTCCAGGCTCTGAAATGTCAGCACAGAGCCTAACGCAGGGCTCAAACCCACAAACGATGAGATCGTGACCCGAACTGACTGACGCTTAACTGTCGGACGCTTAACCGACTGAGCCACCCAGATGCCCCTGTTGATCCACCTTGTACATAGAATGTAATTTGATTTTTGTATCTACTCTCAGAGCTGTACACTATCAGAGGTCCCATCTTCCTCAGATGAGGACACTGAGGCTCAGAAAGTTGAAGTGATTTGTCCAAGGTCATCCATGTGGCAGAAGTGAGCAGAGACCAAAACTCAACACCGATCAACTCCAGGGTCTGTTTGCTGTGCTGCTTTTTGATAGAAGTGAGGATGCTGCTTTTCCCTTTTGCTAAATTTCTCTGGCCTCTCAAATACTCCAGAGTGGCATTTCATCATCATTGGTGCTTATGCCACATACACGGTAGTGCCCTAGGTGTAAATCAGTTTGGTGACTAACCGCCCGGTACCAAGCCACATATTTGTCTTGGCATTATTTAACTTTCACGCCTCATCGGGTCTCCCCAACCTGAGCAAATCCTGGAGGCGGCAGTGCCCACATCAAACCATTCTATCTCCCGTGGTCTAAAGGTTGTTACATATTCACGTAAAATGACTGGAAGGTCTTTACCAAATGTGACAGGTAAGTTTGAACAGCCTGCCTTGGATCTGTGGTATAAACAGTTTTCACACTGGGGAATCCAGGAGGCACCTACAGAAGACAGACATATCTAACAACCTTTGTACTATTTGATTTTTTTTTTTTAACCAGGGGCACGAGTTATTTTTTTAAAGTACCATCAAAAATAAATAAAGATAGATCAATAAATAGAAAGGATTTTTTAAAGCCAAAAATTGGAGAGAAAATGACAGGGCAGGAGACCAGGGTCAATAGCTGCCTTCCAGGGAAGGTTTCCAGAGCAAGATATAATAAAAAAAGCCCAGATGAATATAAACGCCTAATAAAGAGAGAAATTAACATAGGCTCAAATATGAGTCCTAGACCAACAGTCACAGTGGAAGATGCTCTAAAACTCAGGCCCTGATTTTTGGTCCAAGCTACTTCGTGTCTAGAGAATTCTATGCTCCCAGAAATTCTAGCAGTAGGAATATGCTTTATTGAACGATGATTTAACAATTTACCCTACAGATGCAGGGGTGGCCAGTTGATATGCAATAATTGTCTTTTGGTTTGAGTTGACGTGGAAAGACGCAGTAGATGGTAGCACTTCACCTCAGAAGTTTGCCCTCTCCACCTTGGTCCCACCTTGCTTGGTTCTACCTGTCTCAGGTGACAGTAATACCAGACCAACTGTTCCCGCAGCTTTCTAACATAAGCATTTAGATACCTCTGCAACCCTACAGCCCAGGACACACCCACTTCCGGCCTGCACACCCATTCCTTTCACTGGGATTAACATAAAATTGCACTTAGAAAGGAAGAGAAAAAGATTTCCATATGCAAATGAAGATATCAATGACAAAGTGGAACACTTGTATTACTGTGCAGTCCGTCCAGTCTAGCAGGCAGAGATGCCCACTTGGGCAACGGACTTCTGCAGTGACGGCATCCGACATCCACTGCCTTCAGAGCAGACCCAGATGGAAGGGTGACTGTAGAAATGTGACCAGACTCACTGTTGAAGGGAAGGAGGTAAGTGAAGACACCTCAGCCCTTTTAAAAAAGAAGCTGACTTTAGGGATCTCTTATAAAGCATTAAAACAAAAAACATATCTGAATGACACTTGAAAACTTGAATGAGATCACTTTGGACTGCCTTCTGCTTCCAGGAAACACCACACCCATGACACTGGGTCTCCACTGCCACCCATAAAGTCCAGCGCTTCAGCAGTGACACAGCAACTCTCATCCCAAGAGCACATTCAATTACATGACATAAATATGGACCATATCTAACCTAGCACTGTCCGGTTCTAGAAAGCAAATTCTTAACCACGACGTAGTCTGCCTTTTTTGCGTGCTTCATTCATGTCTTTTTTCAATGACATTTTTTCTGACTAGAGAAGTAATACATGTTCATTATAGGCATTTTGGAAAATTAAGGAAATCAAAAAGAAGACAAAAATCATCTATAATTATACCACTCAGATTATTCACTGTTAAGTTTTTGGCCATAGAACCTCCAGTCTTTTTTCTTAAAAGCACACATCACACAGGTATGCTGTTTCAAATGGGCACATGCACCTCAATATTTATAGCAGCACTATCAATAATAGCCAAAGTATGGAAAGGGCCCAAATGTCTATCGACAGATGAGTGGGTAAAGAAGATGTGGTATATATATACTATGGAACATTACTCGGCAATCAAAAAGAATGAAATCTTGCCATTTGCAACTAAGTGGATGGAACTAGATGGTATTATGCTAAGTGAAATCAGTCAGTCAGAGACAGACAAATATCATATGACTTCATTCATATGAGGACTTTAAGATACAAAACAGATGAACATAAGGGAAGGGAAGCAAAAATAATATGAAAACAGGGAGGGGGACAAAAACAGAATAGACTCTTAAATATGGAGAACAAACAAAGCGTTACTGGAGGGGGTGTGGGAGGGGGGATGGGCTAAATGGGTAAGGGGCACTAAGGAATCTACTCCTGAAGTCATTGTTGCACTATATGCTAACTTGGATGTACATTTTAAAAATAAATTTAAAAAAATAATAATTAAGATGAAAAAAAGGCACACATCCCCCATGCAAGTGGGAGCGACTTCCCATGCCCCTAAACTAGAAGTGTCCCCTCAAAGCAGCTAATCATTTGAGGGAATAACACTTGGTCTTGTGTGAAATTAATTGTCATATTTCTTTACTTCACTGACAGCCCTAACCACTTATATTTGACTCTCAGTCACCTACCTGGTTCCCACCCAGTTGGAGTATCCATTCCTCTGGGATCTTGAACCTCTCCACAGCTCAGGGCAAAACAGACTAGTGTAAAACCTGACTTTCATTGTGAGCCCATTCTCTTTCTCAATGATCAGTTTATAGGTGACCAGGAAGATGAGGAGAAGAATACGAGGACTTCCAGGACAAATTCTTTGCTCCTAAGAGAGACACACAAGGAAAAAACAGTCCTTTATTATCCTAGATGCTGTCCTGTGTGGATGAATGCCTAGAACCAGAGAGCTATTTTGGGAGGCTGAGAGAAGCTAGCTGGAGATTAAAGCTCAAAGCGCCCTAACTGATCCAGACAGAATATTCTAGGTGACCTCCAGCAAGATACAAGTAACCACTAGACACAAAACAGACTATTGTGAGAAAACAGCAATTTACAGAAGAATATGTATAGTATGACCCTATTTATATAGCCAGATAGATATAAATGCATAGAAAAAAGTCAGGAGTAGACTCTGGAGGAATATACATGAAAATGTTGGCAATGGTGACCTCTAACCACCATGTGAATCAGGGCTTCAACTTTTTATTCTGCATGTATTTGTAGTGTTTGAAGTTTCTACAGTAGCATGCCTGCATGTATTGCTTGTGTAATTTTTTTAGCATTTTAATTTTAAGGAGTATGCAAGGCTTCCCCTTTATTTGAAATTTGTATTAGAAAGCTCAGAGCATTCATCTTTTAAAAAAAAGTTTTGGGGCGCCTGGGTGGCTCAGTCAGTTGAACTTCCGACTTCGGTTCAGGTCATGATCTCATGGTTCATGGGTTCGAGCCCCGCATCAGGCTCTGTGCTGACAGCTCAGAGCCTGGAGCCTGCTTCAGATTCTGTGTCTCCCTTTTTCTCTGCCCCTCCCCTGCTCATGATCTGTCTCTCTCTCTCTCTCTCTCTCAAAAATAAATAAACATAAACAAAAGTTAAAAAAAAAAGTTTTGTGGTCAGAAAACTCTTCAAGTTATTTTCAGTTTCTAGGGGGATCCTCTCCTTCTTACAGCTCAGCCTGCCTGCTGTTTGCCTGCAGACTTTACTTTTCCACAGGAAGAATCTGAGGGAGATCATAGGCTGTGGTTCAGTTTACTTGGGGCAGAGTCTGGACTGTGATGTGGGGCAAGGTGATAAACATCTTCTATGAAATCAGGATGATGGGCATTTGGCTGACATTACCAGAGTGCCGTCCGGCCTTGTGAGTGTCCAGAGATAAGGAAGGCAAAAGATGTTATCTCTGGACAGTGGCGCACTGGGGTTATTCAGAGTGTCTCAAAGTGCAGGCCAAGATCCCCACAGCAGAGTCACCTGCAAGCTCATTAAAATGCAGATTCCTGAGCCCCACCTCAGATCTACTGATTAACAATCTCTGAAGGTAGCGCCTGAGAACCTGAATTCTTTATTATCTGCAGATAAAGTGTGAGAAGTACTTTCTTCATAGGCAAACTGGACTTGTCAAAATAGTCGGGCCTGTGGCAGAGATGGGGCAAGTGCAGGTTCTTCCTTCTCATCCTGGTTATCTGGATGCTCAGGGCCAAATGAGTGGCTAGCTGCAGCCACAGGGTTTCATGGCATGAGGGCTATTAAGAGCTCTATCTCAGGCTCCTCCCATTAATTCTGTCACTCATCTTCTAGCTTCAATGTCCCCTAGCAAGCTACCAAAAGTCTTCCTGGGACAGGCAGGATAGATAGATAGATAGATAGATAGATAGATAGATAGATAGACAGATAGATGATAGATAGATAGATAGATAGAGATAGATAGATAAATCAGCCACTTATTAAGCATTTAGCCAGGATGCTGTGCTAAGTGCATTGCATCTCACCTCATTTAACCTCACAACATACCTAAGATCGGGTACTATTATTAACCCCATTTTACAGATGTGAGAACTGAGGCTTAGAGAAGTTAAGTAATGTGCACAGCAGGTGCCGGAATTCAGGTCTACTTGTCCTTGGTGCAGGTGGTCCCACACACCTTTCACACAGGACTGGTCCTGGGGCTGCAATCTGAGCCGGGCCAGGGGTGGGGGGGAGCAAGGCTTACCTTGAACCTACTTTTGCAAAATTAGCACGCTATTTTTACTTAGATTTTATATTCAAATCAGTTTTTTTTTTAATTCTGAGGCTGCTTTTATGAACACATTGGTAAAATGGTTTTGTCTTACTTGTCTTATTTTATGTAAGTATGTACTTAAGGAAGGCCACAGAAGGGCTCCCCTGTGGTGATGCAGCCACTGTAAACAAGCTGGTGAAACTATTTCTGCCAACTTTATATTAAGTTTTCTGTTAAGTAATCCTTGATGACTTGTTGGGAGTAGTAAACACATTTTTACAGAAAGAAACCCCCCCATTGGTACATATTTTAATATATGTATGTGTGTGTGAGTGTACAGGTGCCTCATATAACAACAAAAATCAAACTGTGGAAAGGTCCCTTCCGCATCACCGTCCAGCTATATTCGTCAGAGATGCCCATGGTAACAAGCAGGAGAGCTCACGCGTGAGCACACACACACACACACACACACACACACACACACACACACACGGTATCATACAACCCAATACAATGCAACTTACTTTGTTCATATCTACATATGACTTGGGTACAGGACGTTTCGCTTTGTTGTTTAACTTGAGAAGAACTTCTGTTTCCCTTGAAGCCTAGAGGGCAGAGGAGGTGGGAGAAGGCACTCGGAGCTCGAAGTACTGTCTCCGCCCAAGCCAGAGCACCAGGTCGGATAAACAGTGGGACTGCCAGCTCAGCAGCCCCCGCCCTCCCCGGATGGGTCAAACGGAGGGAGGAAGTGTGCGGTTGGGAAGCTCCGCTGCTCTCGCCCGGTCTCCAGTTTTCCCCGCGCAGAAACTGCAAGGAAAGTTAGTATGGGAAGCTGCGTCCACCTGAAACCCTGCCGGGGCCCAGGAACTTCCCAGGCGGCGGGGACTGGGGACGGTGCTCCGAAATGGAGACCTCGCGGGTGAGAGCGAACTCTCGGGTCGCCGGCGCGGGACTGGCACGGCCTCACAGCAGCGCCCTCTCTCGGCGGCCCTGGGTACGGCCTGTATCTATCGGCGTGCATCTGTGGGCTTGTACTTGGTGTTGGTGTTCCAGCTAGTGTTTCTGTTGCTGCTCTTGTGCAGAATGGTTGTGGGTGTCTAACACCGTGTTCACCTTTCACTCCTCTTAACAATGTTAAATTCCTCTAGGAATTTCTAGCTAATTCTGCTAATTCTGTGCATCGGTATAGAGCTCCTAGGGCTCTATGGTTTTGTGTGCATAGGAGTGTGAGGTTATAGTCCGGTGTGTGCCTTGAGTGTGGCATAGGTTGTCTATATCCCTGACTGTGGATATTTCACTTTCTGTCCCCACCTGTCTGTGAGCAATTACCTATGAGCATGAGCTGTATCCCTCCACATTTGAGTCTTACTAGTAATACACATTTTTACCATCTTCCCATGGCTGTGCCTGTATAAATGTACAGGCGCGTGTGTGGTGCATGAAGCCACAATGGGTAGTAATGGGATGTTTCTGAAATCCAGATGTTGAAGGAATAATGTGGAAGAGGGGAACCTCAAATATACTAAGTCCTTTGCCCTTCATCTCATTCTCATTGACTTCAGAAGAACCATAGAGTTTGCTTTTGGACCCTCTGGCTTACAATTGCTTGATTCTGACCTGAACCTGGCCTCCTGTGTGAACTCTCCTTGGCCTTCCTTCTCCGGTCTGTGGAGGCTGCCTGCTGCAGGCAGGCTTTAAGCCCATTGACCCTGATGTCAACAGAAAGAAGTGAGCATCCATCTCCTTCCTTTTTCCCCACCCAAAAGTCACTTCCTCTTAGTTCATTACCTGGGATTTTGATGCTTGTGTTCCCTCAGCATTATTGATACACATGGGGAAAAAAAAAAAAAGGAACTTCTTGAAATTCCCCCAGAAGGTTTTGAGAGTTGTTTTCAGTGTTGCAACTTGAACAAGTCAGTTTCTAGTTTAAGTTTCCATCAGAAAGCTTGGTAGGAGTAGGGTATATAAGCCCCAGTAGTAACAACAGCAGCAACAGCAGCAGCAGCAGAAGAAGAAGAAGAAGAAGAAGAAGAGACTAGTTTCAGACCCAGAAAACTCTGCAGCCTGCCCAGAAGCAAGGTAAGCACTTCCTTGGCCCCTTCTAGCTTTCCACAGGCCCGCAGGCTGTCCGGGGTAGCACCATTTGAGTGGTACCCCTACCCCTGGCAAGCTACCAGGAGTGTGTGGATTTCTGGAGGCATTCCTGGTGACTTACCTGCCGGGACACTATGAAAAGTCAGTATTTTGGGGACTGATGTATCAGGTCTTAATTTTAAAAGTCAACTAATAATAATTGTACACGAGAGTCTACAAATGAATGCACATTTGATAGAAGGGCTTGTTTTGTCTTGTCTGAGAGTAGTGTGTACATAAAAGAGTGTTCCTCAATTTTAATGCCCACCAGTTAAATTGTATCGAGTGGTGCCTCTGTTCGGACTGTAAACTTTTTTAAAGCTGTTCGTTCATTAAGCCATAATGAATTCAATAAACAATTGAATTCATACTTACACCTCATAATTGAAAGTTGCAGAGCAAACTTTGTGTTGGGCTTAATAGATAGTTGGAACAGTCAAGCAGACTGGAGTCCGGGTTATCCAGATTTTTTTGGATTAACTTCGAAGCTACTTTAAAAATGAAAAGCAGCCGCATTGTTTAAAAGTATTTGCCAAAGGGTTTTAAAATCTGTGAGGAGGAAAACAAAAGATTATACTCTATTAGTGTCTTATGGTTGCCCAGGTAAATCGTGTGCAACAGTTTTTCAGGTTAAAAAAAATAACGATCAGGTTAAAATATCATTTTAACCAAGAGATTACCAAACCCCCGCTGATGGCCCACTTCCGTCAGATAAGGAACTTCAAGATATTGGAAAGAATTTGGACAACCTCTTGGGGTTCCTTTTACTGGGATCTGAAAACTGATGATTTCTGTACATTTATTCATTTTCCTCTAGCAATTCATAAGATCCAGGCCAGAGTGTTTATGCTAGACTCTGGAGGTATAGTGTGGAGTCAGAAAGACATGATCCCTGCCCTCAGAGAGCTCAGTGTGGCAGAGGAGACAAACATCGACAACTGTATTACCGCAATCACAGGAAAAAGTGCTATGAGTGGGATTCAGGGAGAGCAAACAGCCAGGAGTCCTGACTTCCTTGGGGCACCCTGCTGGATACCTTCATGAATTATTTCATTAACTCCTTACCACAATAGGATGTCCATTTTACAGGTTGAATGTGAGACTTAAATAAGTCAAGTGACTTTCCTAGAGTCACACAGCTAATAAGTGGCAGGGCTGGGATGCCAATGCAGGTCTGCCTGTCTCTAGAATTGGGGGTGCTACCCATGCTTTGTGTGATTTTGCCTTTTTATTTTTAAATAATAATTCTTTTTATTTTTTATTTTTTTTAATGTTTCTTTTTGAGAGAGAGAGAGAGCATGACAGAACGCTAGCAGCAGAGGGGCAGAGAGAGAGACACACAGAGTCCCAAGCAGGCTCCAGGCTCTGAGCTGTCAGCACAGAGCCTGACGTGGGCTCAAACTCACAAACCATGAGATCATGACCTAAGCCAAAGTCAGACGCTTAACCGACTGAGCCACCCAGGCACCCAATAATAATTCTTTCTAAATTAAAAGGTAACAAAATAAAGCTTGCAAACGAGATGCCCACCCAAGTGTCCTGGGCATGCCCATGTTGGCACCAGCTTTAGGGAGCATAACCATACCACAGGACCTGGGGTCCCTGTGTTCCTTACACAAAGATTTCAAGAATTTAGAAAACCTACAAAATTACATGGAAAAAAATGTTTAATCCTCAAGACTCTCAAATGTAACATGCCAAGGAAATGTGGGCTGTGGAATATAGCTCTCTGATATCAGCTGATCTGGAGAACAACAGGGCAAATACATGCTGCCCCCTTTTTGGATTTCCCTGGGTTGGATTAAGAGAGTGACCCACCACCACTTCCCCCGGGGGGGCGCCCGCGCACCCCCGCACCCCATCCAGCCAGTGTTCCATGGTTTAAAATGTAGGTGATACTAAAATGCAAGTTGTTTCTTAGAATCATCACCAAGGCTCCCTTGATCGTGAAGTGCAGTTCACCTGAAATTCTCAAACACATCTAAGGCCCCAAGAGGAAGTGCCAGGCATATAGCCAAAGGGAAAATCCCAGCATTAAGATAGTGCAAAAGAATCACCAGGAGATGCCAGGAATCTCTGTTATTTCCCTGCCCAGAGTGCCGGCATCTGGGCTTTACAGGCCTATGTAATTACAATACCTCTAGGGCATTTCCCTACAACCAGCAGGAAGGTTTTGTCCGCTGTTGTATACAAAACAGACATATCGCATTTTTCCTTTATCTCTTCACCTAAGTACAAGCTAACATGTTATTGGCTGCCTTCTATAATATGATATGTCATCTCATTGCATTCTGTCAACAACCCTCTGAAATGGGTATAATGTCCATTTTATAGACGAGGAGACTGAGGCTCAGAGATAATTTGGGCAACATCACACAACTATAAGTGGAGGAAGCAGAATTCAAGCCCGTCTGCTGGACTCCAAGCCTGTGAATGTACTAACTGATACCCTGTGGCAACTAGTACATTGTTACAGTCATAACTTGGACATGATTAATGGGCATGTCTGTGAAAGCTCCATGCTGCAGTGACAAAGTGCTGACAGTACAGGAAGGCCTGACTTCTAGTCCCATATCTGCCACTCTCAACCTTTGTAATCTGATTGAATAAAGCACATGGCAAGGTTCTCCTAGGATTAGCAGCAATTGTAACAAAGCTGTGATTTGTCAATATTCAGTCACCCCAGCCAAAAGATGTTCATTTTTAAGGTATCTGGCTGAAAATTTTTTAATGTTTTATTTATTTTTGAGAGAGAGAGAGAGAGCACAAGCAGGGGAAAGGCAGAGAGAGGGAGACACAGAATCTGAAGCAGGCTCCAGGCTCTGAGCTGTCAGCACAGAGCCTGATAAAAGGCTGGAACCCATGAACCATGAGATCATGACCTGAGCCAAAGTCGGACGCTTAACCGACTGAGCCACCCAGGTGCCCCCTGACCAAAAATATTGGGTCTTATTATTTGTATGATTTATTCAGTGGTTTCTGAAAACATGTTCCTACAGAACATTGGTGCTCTCTGAGATGGATGGAGGTGTTTCAGAATGAAATTCAATAATCACCATCTCTACCTAATTCAGAAGTAGGGTACAATCTTCACGTCCTGAAGATTTGCATAAACCCTGGATCCCAATCTAGATTGAGTTTTACTCTAAGATGGTAGCTGATACTTAGCACAAAATTATACATTTCACTTTTCAGAGTGGATATATCAACATTTCATGGCCTTCTTCCAAAGAACATCTTGGTTTTCAGAGCTGTGGACGCTAAACATGGGTTAACCCAGTAGTTCTCAAAGTGTGATCCCTGGACCAGCAACATCAGCTGCACCAGGAAACTTTTAAGAAATGCAGATTCTGAGGTCCCTCTCCTCCTTCCATCCCCCTTCACCCCTACCTGCTGAATCAGACACTCTGTAGGTGGAACTCAGCCATCTGTGTTTTAGCAAGGCTTCCAGGTTACTCTGATGTGTGCTCAAGTCTGAGAATCACTTGTTTCATTATGTGAGAGGAAGTAACCTTTGAGTTTGGAGCAGTTACAATCTAAACGAGGAGAGAAACTAAACCTGGCTGCCAGGTGGCTGCCATAACTTGGATCATAAATATTTGTTGAATGACAGTATT